TGTTTATGTCCATTCAATAATGTTTTTAGCTACATGTACATTTAAATTTTGTTACAGTACTGATACTTAAACATAAATTTGATATTTTTCCCATCAGGAATTGACTGGATATTTTTTATTATTTTTTTTAAATTGGTCATGAAGTATACATGAAGCCAGGTGGTTGTAAGGATGGGGTTAAAAAGTTAGAGGGATTCTTGATAGCTGAAAATGATTGTTTCAGAGGCGGAGTGAGTTGAATTTTCGTGCAACATTAAACATACTCCCCCCCTTGGAATAATGTGCTTCAATGAATCATGCACAATAAGACCAGAAACATGCATTAAGAAAGTAAATAGGGTCGATTTTGATTTCATGTTGACTTAAAGCTTTTTGAAATTGCAGCTATCGGATATGATAAAGTTGCTTAAACCCACCAACCTGTGTCTTTGAGATTATGTATAGTCTTTATTAAGTTATTAGCTCAGATGATTGAAGAAAGTGGTGAATTGTGGGTGGTCATAAGTGACAGCGAGAGGAGGGTTTAATGATGATTGAAAGGCTAAAGCAGGATGGGGAGAGGAAGAGAAAGAGAACTTGATTTACAGTCAGCCACATGATTGTCTTTCTCCTGCGAACAGACATTGAGCAACACCGAGGACGGTAGCGCATTATTTAATTGCAGAATTGAGCCTTTGTTTCGGTATTCCCAAAGGCTCAATGAGGCTTTTATTCCTCCGTAATAAACGATAAAATGCTGATGTGTTGTAGAGTTCCGCCAGTATCTAGAGGCTGTGATGTTCTCATGCTCACAGCTTTTGCATAAACGCATAAAACAATTTAATAAATAAATATACATTCGCCTGCTGTTGTATATTATGTGTCAATCCATCAACTCTTCTGCTTGGAATAAATATTTTATGCTTGCAAAAATGTTATCTCATAAAATAAGATATCTATTTGGTCTCCACTGCTAAAATTCCCTGTCTACCACTGCAACAAGTCTTGTTAGTTCTGTTATCCAGTACATGTCAGTGTCCCTGTTCAATGGTATTTGTTGCAATGAATTAAATATTTAACACAATTTTTAAATATTAATTAATTTCAGTCATTGGGTATTGCCATGTTTGTCATTTTCCTGGGTGCTGCAATAACTTCTAACATGAAAACTGGCAATTTGTTTCTTTAATTCTCCTTTCTCTAATTTAAATTATTCAAACAAAGCATGTTTTCTTGGGAATATTGTTTTTACTCGTTTTTTTTTCCTCATATGTCCTCAGTATTGTTGTCCAACCTGTTAGTCTTTTGTTAAACACCTTTGATTAACAAGAGTCACTTCCTTGCTGACATCATTTTCCAGGAAGTGGTGTCATTTTGGAGGGAAATCAATGGCACAAACGCCAGTAGGCAATGGATTTAAATAATTCTGTGTTTTTTGTGGTATTAGTTGCTTATTAGTATTATTCTGTTTGATGAAGTTGCAGAAATTATATTAACAACATATCAATAATCAATAAAAAATCAAAATTAACATCAATTTGACACCCTCAATCGCTTACTGAGCAGCTTTAGCTCTGTATTTCCATTCTGTTCATGTTCTTGCCGTTGCCTAAATAATCACGCTCTAAGTAATAGTTTAGGTGTCTGATCTTGATCAGAGCATATTTCTGAAAGTTTGGTAAATCCTTATATAGAACTATTTCCTTTTATGACCCAGGCCATGGAATTTAAGCAAAAATAATAAATTACATTTAAAAATTTTTTTTAAGAAAATGTGAGTGGAGCAGAGGTCTTTCTTATGATTCTTTGATGTCATGGGTGGTTGTTCTTATTGGATTGTAGTGCGTTACTATGCAGTTGCTGAGGTGTTCTTATTAGTTTTGTAGTGTGTTACTATATGGTTGCTAAGGTCTTCTGTTTCGCCAACGAAGATAGATCCAAACAAAGTCAGAGCAGAACATTTGTGCCTCTAAGATCAACACTGCAGTGTTTCGTTCCTGAATGAATCTGTTATTGAACAAATCATTTGATTCAGTGATTCAATGATCCTTTCATAAAGTCACTTGCTTTGTAAATCAGCCGTTTTGAACGAATCGTTTGAATCAATGATGCAATGAATCACTCATTAAGACAGGGGCTTGCTTCCACCTAGTGGTGGTTTTAG